TTAACGTAGTTTTTCTCGTTTGACGTAAATGGCTTCCCCCCCCCAAGCGAATACACACCAGATACTGTATCTTAGAAATGACAAAGCCTCCCAGATGGGAAGCAAAAATGTTTTCAGCTTCAGAATAGAAGTCCAGTTTTATTTTACTTTTTTAATTTACCTTTTTATGATTGATCGTGACCTGGATGACTGAGAATCTTCATGTGATGTTCTCATAAAAAAGGAAGAAGAACATGCAGTCTCCATATGAAAACAGCAAATATATATTGAAAAAATGTTTCAAATAATCTAACAAAGTTGAGTCAGGTCCTCTGGATAGATTCTTTCATCCAGAGGACCTGACTCAATCTTAGTAGATTTACCTGGATTATTGAGCACCAGGATGTTTCAAAAACATAATTACAGACTCAAACAACAGACAGGAGCAAGTTTATTAAGTGACAACTTTTCCTTTTTATTTTTGAGAGGAAACCTTTTTTTTCTTTGGACTTTTCAGTTAGCACATTTTTTATGACATTGCTAAAGAAAAAGGAAACAGGCTATGGTTCATTTCAAAGGTTTTCTGAAAACTCTCAGGTTCCATCAGAAAAGAGAGAAGTGGAGTGGAGGAGCCTTGAATAATCCGAGTCATGCTTTGAACACACAGAAATCGTTTCAAGCAGGCTTTGCCCTTGTTGCTCTGTTTTTACTCAAACCTGCCAGTAGCTCAACTACACCCTAGTCCCAACCAGGCACTCAGGTAGAGTTGGAGCGTGCACACGTCGTTAGGACATGAGATGCAGGAGAAGCTGGGGCAAAGATCTGCTTCGTGTGTCTGCAGCTGCAGAGAGATGTTCATCTTACCGTATGTCCCACCACGTTCCCTGAGGTCAGCGGACCAGTTGCTCCTCACAGTTCCAGGAACTCGTCTTAAGCGCAGAGGGGACAGGGCCTTCTCTGTAGCAGGACCAAGACTCGACCAAGAACGAGTCTCTGTTTGTCAGACAGGCCCCCTCCCTCTCGGTTTTCAAGTCCCATTTAAAAACTCACTACTATTCAGTGGCTTTCAACACCAGATGATCTGTGTTTTGATCCTGTATGCTCCACACTGGTTTGTCGTCATTATCTGCATCGATTTTATGTCTATATTCTGATTTACCTCATTTTGTATTTTGCTTGGTGTGTTACCTGTTGTTTTGTCTGTACAGCACTTTGGTTGGCCTTGTCGCTGTTTTAAGTGCTCTATAAATAAAGTGGTATGGTATGGTATCTTAAACAGAACTTGTTTTATTGATGGGAATGAGCTCTGGATTGTGAGACATTTACTGTTTGTCCTTAAGTCGATTAGGTCATCCATTCCTCAATCCACAGCTGACCCCTCTGTCTTTGTCCCTTGCTCAGCTGTCTTCAAACAGTTTGAACCCATTTCACTTCCTTTTTTAAAAAGTCGTTGGTCAGATGAAACCCTCCGGTTCCCCTGCTGATCTCATCCCTGCATCGTTTTATTAAAACAAGTTCTACCCACGATTGGACCCTCTGTTCTTACTATTATAAATAGTAGTATTGTGGCAAGTGTGGGCCCCGATGCTTTCAAACATGCAGTAGTTAATCCATTAATTAAGAAACCTGGACTTGACCTTTCGACTTGCTCAAATTTCAGACCAATCTCGAAACTTCCCTTTCTGTCCAAAATTTTAGAGAAAATAGTTTTCATTCAATTAAATGAGTTTTTGAATGAAAACAGAATTTTTGAGATTTTTCAATCTGGTTTTAAACAACTTCACAGCACTGAAACAGCATTAGTGAGGATTTGTAACAATATGATATCAAATGATTCTGGTCAATTTGTGGTACTTGTACTCCTGGACCTTACTGCTGCTTTTGATACTGTTGACCACAGTATCCTTAAATCACAGCTGGAACTGTGGGTTGGGATCACAGGTGCTGCATTAGAATGGTTCCGCTCATACTTGAGTGACAGGAGCTTTTGTCTCAAGGTTGGTAATGAATCCGCTTCAATGCCTGTTTCTTGCGGGGTCCCACAGGGCTTGATTCTTGGACCCCTTCTGTTCTCACTCTGGTTTCTCCCACTGGGGTCCATCCTGAGGAAACATGGTCTTTCATTCCATTGTTATGTTGATGATTGTCAGATCTACCTGTCTGTGAAATCAGCAAGTGCTTGTTCCATTCCATGTTAAAATGTCTGGACAACATTAAGGCCTGGATGGCTTCAAATTTCTTAAGTTTTAACGATGAGAAGACTGAAGTCATTGTCTTTAGCCCTAGCTCAACTGCTACCTCTGATCCTGTCAACCTGGACTGTCTTCAGCCATATCTTAAGCAGTCTGGTAAAAATCTCAAGATGGTTTTAGACTCTGACTTCAAGTTTGACAAACAAATCAACTCTATTCTGTAGAAAAGCTTCTTCCAGTCATGACAGGTAGATAAGTTCAAGCCAATGTTGTCTAGACCCGACCTTGAGAAACTAGTCTATGCCTTTGTCATGACCCGATTGGACTATTGCTGCACTCTATGCTGGGGTCAGCCAGGCCTCCATCTCACGTCTTCAGCTCGATCAGAATGCTGCTGCTCGGCTTTTAACCGGAACTCGTAGGTCTGAACAAATTACATCAGTTCTGTCCTCCCTTCACTGGCTCCCTGTGCATACTGTAGACTTGAAAATTCTTCTGTTGACCTTCAAGTGCCTAAATGGCCTCGCACCCCTTTACCTCTCCGTGTTACTGGAACCTTACGTTCCCTCTTGGGCCCTGAGATCATCCAATCAGCTGCCTTTGGCTGATCCAAAAACAAGACTGAAGCTCAGAGGGGATCGGGCTTTTTCAGTCATGGGCCCCAAACTCTGGAACAACCTGCCCCCCAACATCAGGCAGGCCACCTCCCTTCCTCACTTCAAATCTCTGCTAAAAACACATCTGTTCTCTCAGGCATTTCACACAGTGTGAGCTGATTTAGTGTTTTTTTGTTCTGTGTTCCTATATTTTAAATTATTTTTATTAATTCTTCAGTATTATCATTAGTGTGTGGTGTGGTATATATATTTTTTTCATTAAATTTACTCGTATTGATGTTGTTAAGCACTTTGATAACAGTCTCTGTTTTAAATGTGCTCTATAAATAAAGTTTACTTGACTTGACTTATTGGAGTGTTGCGTCAGCAGTGTGTTTGGTGTTGTCCTGCTCAGAGGAATCAGGAATTGCTGGTTTCGCTCCATCCATCTTTCCTTTAACTCTGATCAGTTTCCAGACAGAGCTGATTAAAAACATCACCACAGCAAGATGCTGCCACCACCGTGCTTCACTGTGGTGTCCTCAGCATGATCAGAGGTGGTGGGGATTGCCTCAGATATAAAAGTTTAATAATTTCAGAATTATAATTTCAGATAGATGTACAGTATAGTTAATAAAGTACAGAAGTTCTTTATAGTTGAAAAAAATACTGAATCAATTGTTGAACTTTTAAATTTTTGAGAACTTGCCCCTTTAATGGTATTTACATGGCTCTGATGGGAACCAGTAGGAGAACCCTTTCATTCAAAATTAAATGATAAATAGTGTTATTTAAAAATTATGAATACATATTCCATTAAATAAAGAAATATCCCCATGAAATAAAACATTTAAATAGAAATGTTTAGTTTTTTCCCAAAATTAATTTTTTTAAATTTATTTCAAGATTTAGTTTTATTTATTTCAAGCTTTAATTATTCATTTATTTACTAATGGAGTTTCAATTTGTGACACTTTTATATTTCAGGGGCTTTTATTTTTTGACCCCGTTTTTTATTTTAAGCGCTTTTTATTTCATGTTCATATATTCTAATAAGGGGGCGGGGCTTTCTCTGTGGGGTGAAAACGGGGTTAAAAAATAAAAGCCCCTGAAATATGTAAAGTAGCTTTACAAAATAAAAGTGTCACAAAATAAAACTTCATTATTAAATAAATAAAGATTGAAATAAATAAAGAAAAACCTTGAAATAAATAGAAAATTAAATCTTGGGGAAAAAAACAAAACATTTCTATTTAACTGTTTTATTTCATAGGAACATTTTTATTAAATAGAATATTAATTAATATTTAATGAAATATTTATTAATATTTTTAAATAATTTTTTTATTTTTATTTATTTATTTAATTTTGAATGAAATGGCTCTCCATAAGCCAGTGACCCAAAAAGAAAGACGCAGGTAAAGAAAATGGATGGATGGATTACTTAGTACCAGTGATTTTAGCCTCTTATTGGGGCCTAAATTTTAACTCATCACCCCTGAAAAATAAAGTTAATTTTTGTTTGTTTGTTTGTTTTGGTTCTGGGTTTGGGTTCTTTTTATTGCATTTATGATTCAGGGAAACAAAAAAAAAACAAAAAAAAATGGCAACAGATTATTGTAAAACTTGGTTTATTTACACAATGATTTTAATTGCTGGATATCCAGCCCCTGAGCAGCTGGCTTTCAGAAACTGTGCCTCCCTGAGCATTTTAGTTCAATAGCCCTGATTTAGAGGGTGTAATACAGTTAAAAATTCCTGGGTGAGGGCCCCCAGACGCCCACCAGTGTGCGCCCCCACATTATGAATGCATCTGATGCCAATGGCCACCACGTTGTTCAAGCCAATACCTATTGTCATCACTGAGGGCTGAGCACCCCTACAGGCCAGATTCTAGAATCGTCCCTGCTTAGTAAAAAATGGATTAAAGTGAAAATAAAACAAAGTTTGTGCAAGATGGAAAAAATAATCTTACTGTGAACATGTTTTTGAATTACACTTAGAATATTTCAACATCTGTTATATAACTGACTTTATGTTTGAGGTTTTTTTATATTGTCAGGAATAACTTCAGTTTTCAAGAAGTTGGTTGTGCATCCTTTTGTAGCAATTCTCTAGAGTAGTCTGACTTTTTTTCTTGTGCACACAGGAAACCATATTATGAAACTTTTTTCCTCAAATAGAGGCTCCGTAGGGATTTTTTTAATGCGTCATGTCTTGATTTCTTCATTAGTGCTCATGTCAGAAGAAGGCGATCAAACAACCATCACGGTAACCTTTGACCTTCCACAGTCCCCTTCACTGAAGCTGAAGCCTGTGCTGCTCTTGGCGTTTGAACGCCCCCTCCCAGGTGGAGAGCTTGGTGTGGCCTTAAGGAGTCAGTCTCTGCAGCCAACCTTGCAGGTAAGGATAAAACGTCCGATAGGAACATCACTTTGTTAAAATTGTTGTGAAAAAAAAAAGATGTGTAAACATTTATTTTGTTACATTTCTGGAGAGTGACTTCTGACTTCAACATTTCTTTTCTAGTCGGTCTGCATTTCAGAAGGGACACAGTACATCCTGCTAACAGCAAAGCCAATAGAGGGCGGTGGGGAACAGAAATGGAGAATTTCTGTTGAGACCAAATCCCCTGTCATGGGTAAGACTATTATTTTCTTCTCTTTTCTTTGTAATGTTTCATGTCATGTGCAACCCTCACCACATTTCCTGTCACTGCAGAGCAAGACCTAAAATACATCTTTAATGGTGGTAAACCAGGAAGTAGCATCCGCATGACTCCACTTCTGCTTTTCTCTGCAGAAAAGAGAACAGATATGAGGTTGCTTTGGTTTTTTTATGTTCCCGTGTTGAAGTTAATATGTTTCACACTCAGCCCTTAAATATGTCTTTGTCTTTCTGTGTCAGCCGTACGAACCGTTTTGGTTCATCTTCGGCCTCTTCGCAGACCTCCTTCCTCTGTGAGTTGAGGCGCTTCCTAGACGTTGTCCTGCCGCATGACCTCTCTAAGCCACCTCAGTTTCGACTGGACTCCTTACAGTCCCTGCCACCCCTGACACTCGGCCTTTCCTCCAGTGAGACCCTGCTGGCAGGAATCATCAACTCCACAGCCCCTACCATCTTCTCCTTCCACAGCTGGAGCTCCAGGTTTCCTGTTCGTCGCGGGCGGCTGGCCCTCTCCTCGGCTCTGTTAGATGAGCTCGGGCAGAAGTTGGAGAAGAGCGAGATGCAGATAATGGAGTTAGTAAACGAGAAACAGGTTGCACTAAGGACCGCCGAGAAGCTGGAGAGGCTCAAACAACTCAGTGCTTTCCAGAAGCAGGAAGCAGCAGCAGATGGTGTGTAGAAGATGACTTTGGATAATTATGTGGTCTACCAATCTTGTTCAGGTCACCAAGACTGGTTTTCTGTCATAGTGGATGGCAGTGGGCTGTGTACACCGTTCAGCTTGCGCCAGAGAATCACACGACCCATGTTTACCTAATACCTAATAGATAATAGCTGTCTTTGAGTATTTTCATGCGCGATGGCAGACTCTTGTCTGACTGAGGGTAGTAGATGGAAGAGTCCTTGTGCTGGGTGGGTGTGGTCCTTAATGATGCTGCATGCTTTACGCAGACATCAGCTGTGGTAGATGTCCTGGATGGTGTGGAGACTGCTACCAGGGATGCCCTCTGCTGTTTGCACCACCCTCTGTAGTGCTTTCCAGCTCTGACTGATACAGTTCCCGTACCACACTGTGATGCAGCCTGTTAGCAGGCTCTCAATGGTGCACCTATAAATGATGGTGAGGATGCTGGTGTTTGTACCAAACTTCTTTAGTCTCCTTAGGAAGTAGAGTCTTTGTTGGGCTTTCTTGCCCATAGTGTCTGTATGTGATGTCCAGGATAGCTCCTCAGTAATGTGAACGCCGAGGAACTTGAAGCTACTGACCTGCTCCACCTCAGTGTTGTTTATGAAGAAAATGTCTCATATTCAACAAAAGCCTGTACAAACAGCGAATCTTCCATCACATCCAGTAGTCCTCTGTGTGTTAAAATAAATGCAGACTATGGGTAGAAGAAAAAAAAAACGAGCTTGACTCACCAACACTCTGCAGGTTTCCATCACAAACATTAAAACCCAAAGCACGGGCGGTGAAGATGTCATTTTAAAAAAAGTCTCTATTGCCATCAATCTAACATTAAGCCCATCACAGGTAGCAGTGCCCTATTCAGTGGTTTTAAGTTCTGAGGCTTATTCCACCCGAGCAGTGAAAGCTGCAAAGGACCCATAGGTGAACAATTCAACCACGATTCCACCAGGACAAAGTGAGGATCTGTGGCCGTCCATACTCCCCTCTATAGCTGCCTTGAGGCTCACGTGTGGGGCTCATCCTCCCATCTCCTGGGTAACGTGCCTCTCTGTCTCCTGTTCAATGATGAATTGCCTCTTTGACGTTGATCGTCCTGCTGCTGATAGTCTCACCCTAGCCATTGCCTGTAAATCAACTTAAGCTGTGCTAAATGCATGTAGCACCTTGGCATGTGCCTGCTGTTCGTCGTGGTGCAAAAACAGTCATGGTGACATATGAACAGGCTTTAATAGAGCCCAAGACTGACTGAGCCTGCTGATAAACAACGGATCACTAACTGAATTGTGTTTTTCCTCTGAACAGGAGAGAGTCAGTACTGTGCATTCCTTCTGCACAAGGCCCTGCAGACTGTGACCCATGCATACAACATGCAGAGGAGGCTGCGGGCCACCAGAGCAGACTCCAGCAGTTCACCGAGGGAGTACATCTGTGCATTGAGAAGTCTCACCGTGTCCTTTGAAAAACTCCTTGTGGGTCCACAGAGTGCCAACATCAACAACTGCCAAGGCTCGTGTGCTTTCCCGCTGACCAACGGCAACAACCACGCCGTCCTTCTCAACTCCCACACCGAGAGGGGCCATGTGGACGAGCGGGCGCCGTGCTGTGTGCCTGTGGCTTACGACCCCCTGGAGGTCATAGACTGGAACGCCGAGGGCTCCTTTCTCTCCATCAAGCCAGATATGATCGCTAAAGAGTGCGGCTGTCGCTAAAACGTAATCGCTCCTGTAGATTATTTGACTCGTTTAGCTTTAATTCTCACTGATTGTCACATCTGATTGGAAATCTCTCTTCTTTTTTTTTTTAGGCCCGAGCAGCAAAGCGCTGTGAAGGCCTATTGTAATCACTCTGTTCAGGCCTGAGCTGCAATTTTTGTGGCAAATGAATTTGCCTTTTGTAGACCTTAACATATCCCAAAACTCACCAAATTTTAATTTTGATGGATTGCCTTCAAACTTGGTTAATATGCCTTTAACACATTGGGGAGTAAAAGTTATCAAAAGCTTGTGGTTTTGTATATATTAAAGGGGTGTGGCCAGGCCTCAAATTTGTGCTTCACACCATAAATTTCTAAACACTATAACTTTCACAATGAAAAACCGAAATGCACCAAACTTGGCAGGAGTCATCCCTGTTGGATGCTCGACGATCCTCTGTGGTCATATTCTCATGTCATCAAAGCCCCGCCCCCTCAGAACAGGAAATCACTTTTTTTTACTTGGAAAGCTTCCTCTCTGACACCCTTGACCTAATCAGGATGATCCTGTGTTAGAAGATATTTAATAAGTTGGTCTGACTTGCTTTAAAGCACAAACCGCTTTTGCTGGAGGCTGTGGGCGTGGCGGCTTGTCGAATTAAGAAGTGACGCCGTTACAATACGTTTGGCTCTAAATTGCACTGATTTGAGTCGAGGTGAACCAAAATCACTATGATCGATCATTATCCACCCCTTGAACAGGTATCCATGATAAGTGGCCAATAGCATCCACAGCGCCCCCTACATTATTCCTACAGTTAGAGTTCAGTGATACAACATCTGATCAGCACCAGATTTATTGTGCGTGATCTGTGAGCACTTCTAGACACTTTGGTATTGTTCTTTAACATTTGACTCCAGTGCGCCCCTAGATTATTCCAACAGTTATATCTCAGTGATACATCATCTGATATGTGCCACATTTATTGTGCATAA